TACAGTCCATAATCCTTGAATCGTCTCATGTGCCCTGTGTCATCTGTAACTCGTAATGCGTGTAGGAAATGCTAAGACCAGTTAACTTCTCTTATGAAATCTTTGTCATTTTTATGAGTAGAATAGCAGTCCGCTCTATCTTTTTCATTATTGATAAAATTCCTAAATATGTTAAGAGTCTAAAAGAAGTTTCTGCTGCTTGTCAATTGAAATTAAGTCCCAAAATTTAGATCCCAGTATCTTTAACTGTCTGCCAAAGTTTCAGAAAAATTTGAGGAAAATACAGAATGTATGCTTATTTTCTCATTGGAGCCTAAAAATTATTTCCATAATTAAGATGATACAAGCTTTTTTTCCCCCAGATAACCCACAATTCAGCATAGTAGTTTACCTCTTGGTAATATTTTTTTCCCCAAATGATTAAATTTAGAGCTCAATGCGTTAAGTATTTGGCATAGAAAAAGCCCATGAAACGTAATTTCAGGTTGCTCGAGTGGCCGCAGCTACCTCCTCCAGAAGTGAATGCAAGGCTCCCTGTTGTCGGTTTTTATTGGACTCTTTCATTCAGTTCCTTTGCTAGAAATTTTGGTTTCACCTTCCCAGACCGCCTCTACTTCTATATACTTTTCTTCTCCTACTTACATGTTTCTTAATAAATACCCTGTTGGAATACAGTAAGCATTAGATTGACTGTTTAGTGCTGCATGCCAGGAGATATTTAAAGTTATAGAATTAAGTGTGTTACAAATGTTACTGTGACTTTTAGTCAATATTAGATAAATATAAATATTTTGTATTAAAGGGTTTTCTGTAAAATGTTTCAGAGAAATATTGTAAGAATTATAATTCTTCATACCAGATTGCAACAAAAACAGGTACAGTTAAAGGAGATGTAGGAGAGAACTGAAAAAGAGCTATAGAATCTACGAGTGGCAGTAACTACAAACTTTAAATAAGATGTATTAGTCAGGCTTCCCCAGAGAAACAGAACCAATAGGATATATAGATATAAGAAGGGATGTATTATAAGGAATTAGCCCATTTTATTGGGAAGGCTGAGAAGTCCCACAGTTTGCTGTCTGCAAGCTGGAGAGCCAGTGGTGTAATTCAATCTGGGTCTGAAGGCCTGAGAACCAGGTGGAAGCACTGAGGGCAGAATACGCATGTACCGGCTCAAGTAATCAGGCAGGAAGGGATGAATTCTTTCCTCTTCCTCTTTTTACTAGTTAGGCCCACAACAAATTGGAAGATGTCTGTCCACTTTAGGGAGAGAGGGCAAACTGCTTTACTGAGTCTTCTAATTCAGATGCTGATTTCATCCAGCACACGTCACAGACACATGGAGAAAAAATCTTTAGCCAAGTATCTGGGTACCCTGTGATCCAGTCAAGTTGACAAAATTAACCATCACATAAGCATTATTTGAACTTCCGACACTGTGAAGTGTTTAGAGTAATGAGCCATAATCTGTACATAATCTGTATTCTCAAATAGTATCAGTAAAAAAAAAAAGAGTATGCGTGTTTCTGTGCATGCACACCTGGGTGCATACGTAGTAAAAGTTTGAACAGGGGGCACCTAAACCAGTTACCCTGTTAGGAAGGCAACTGTCTTAAGTAAGTATATAGCCCTCAGTCACCTGCTACTTAGGCATCTAATAGGGAATTGGGGAAGGAAAGAAAATTAGCACTGTTAAACACTTTCTTAAGGAATAGAAGCCAAACATACCTTAATTATCTGACATGAAAGAATAGTATATGTATATATATATATATATATATATATATATATATATATACTACCTGTTCTATTCAAAATAAAACTCACTGAAGAGAGGAAAAATGGAAAGGTAAAGTAAAACATTTTAATACAACAGTGTTGAAGTTTGATGCTTTAAATTCTTTTCTCCATGGCCATCTTTCAGCTAAATCTGCACTATTCATAATAATGATAACAGGATAGCAGGTTTGTTCAGTGTTTTAGTAAAAAGTGGTAAAATCAAGTTTTGATAGCTTTTCTTCCGGCCTTCTTTTTTTAGGTCTTTAGTGGCTTTGTCATTAATACTGTCTATGCTCCTCTTCAAACCTGCTCCAATTTATATCCTGGATGAGGTAGATGCTGCCTTGGATCTTTCTCACACCCAGAATATTGGACAGATGCTGCGTACTCATTTCACACACTCTCAGGTAAGAATGAGAAAAAAATGCCACAGAATACTTCTAGTATTTGTTTTCCTAAAACTATTCTTTGATAGTGGTCAATGTAAATAAGATATTTAGGATTGAGGAATACTGAAACATAGTGTATCTCTTTAAATATATGCTTCTATTCAAATGAGTATAGAAGGAAAGAGGGTTTTCATTTGTTATTAAAGAAAGAGCCTGGCATTATAGTTGTCGGTTGTAGCATGAGGGAGAATCTGAGTTTTCCATAATTTGGAATTATTTAGGGTAATTATTTTCTCTAGCTAGTTGCCAGGGGGTGCACAATCAAAACAAGACTCTTTCAGGGATATACCTGAAAAATATCTCAAGAAATCGTGTGGCACTAGATGGGGTTCTTTTCAACCCTTCTAGAAAGTAGAGAAAAACCCTGTGAAGCTAAAAACAGTTTGTTTCTACTAAACTGTTGCTGCAGGATCTAGGGCTGCCAAATAAGATTGTACAGATAATGCACTGAACAGCTCTGGGGGACTTCACTTAACATAGTTATCTTAGACTGAGATGTATCTATTACAGCAGTTTTTCAACAGATAGCAGTGAAGTGGTACCTTTTCTTAGTTATATAGATGTTCCATTTGAGCTAATGATAGTGCTGTAGGAACCTAAAACTGTCTTAGATTTTATTAAAATATCACAGAGAAAAATATTTCACCAGGGCATTTAGAGCGAACAAGAAGACAGTGAAGCCAGCTGCCGTAGATAGCAACAAGGAGTCAACCAGCAGGAAGTAGTAAACGTGGGGGAGGAAGCACTCACAGTACAACTGAGAGACTCCTAAAACTGAATATGGAAAGAATTCCTTTAGGTGCCTAATACAACTAGCTGTTACCTGCATTTGAGGATGTTTATTTGCTTGGAGCCAAGAGTTTAAAGAAATAACAAAATCAAAATATCTTCCAATGATTCTTAACTGCGAGTATAAAAAGAGTGAACAAGAATATTGAAAATATTTTTTATGCTTTGCTTTTCTTTTTCCCTTAAGTTCATTGTGGTATCCCTAAAGGAAGGTATGTTCAACAATGCAAATGTCCTTTTCAAAACCAAGTTTGTGGATGGTGTTTCTACAGTAGCCAGATTTACTCAGTGTCAAAATGGGAAAGTTCCAAAGGAAACCAAACCCAAGGCAAAAGGACCCAAATGATCACATATGGAAATTACAAGCACAAACTTACTCCTTCAACTTGACCTGTTTTTTAAACATAAACTTTTTAAGAACTTGGGATTTATCTCATATGTTTATATAAAAATTTAATATTTTGTTACTTAACCCATTTTCTCTTCCTTTATAAATGAACATAAATTCCGCTTCTGAATTAATGTTAACTATGGTCCAATTACTGTGATTGTGATTTTATGCATGTCATCAAATGCCTTTTCTTATACAAGTCTTTTATAGATTAGGGAACCTGAGATTTGTAGTTGGTAGTAGATTTTGTATGTAAAAGCAAAATTACAAAGGAACAGATGAAATTAAATTATAGGATAAATACAGCTGACAGCTTTTAGTAATTAGTTAATTCCTAAGGTAGTAATAGTGTGTTTTCTATTGCTAATAATGTCATATAGCTAAAGAAGAATTATAAAGCAAGTAACTGGACCAACAAAAGGAACACAAAGCTCTTAGGCGAGCACTGAGCTATTTCTGGTTAGTTCCTTGATGACACAGTGCCAGATCCCTGATTTAAACTCAGATGGGAAACTGATATTGAAAGATTTCTCTCATTTTAATGCTGAATATCATGTTTCTATATGCTTAGTAATTGGTTTGTGCAATCTTTTTAAGATTATTTTAATAAAAGCTTGGGAGAATGTGTTGCATGTTGCTCTCTGCTGTAGGTTTATCTGAAGTCTCCGAATATTTTCAAAGATTTTTACCAGCCTTTTCATAATCCAATCAATGACAATCTATTGGTGAGTGAAAATGTAGGAGCCAGCAGACTAAACCAACTTTATCTTTTTCTTTTAGTCTGATGCATATATAAATAAATAGATCCATCTGCTGTACCAAAAGGATTATTAAAATTCGATAATTATTTCTCAGTGTCCTCCTCTGCTTTCCAGTTCAAAAGTATGAATTTCCTTTAAGAATTCAAATGATGGCGCTAACAAACACTGAGAGTGATGCTTTATATGGTTCTTAGTATCTCTTGATGCATTGTTAGAACAGTGTCTCAACTCTCCAAATCTGGAAGGTTCTGACATGATCTAATCTGACCTTGGCCCCACATTTCTTCTTGACTCTTGAGTCATAGTTCCTTTGTGGTATCCTCTTCCTATACATGCTCATACCTGATACATATCTGAGAATGTCAGGTGACACCCAGATAGCTGATACTATGGGGCACATTGGAAAGGAATGAATGTGGAATTTGTCTCCTCCTCCAACAGTGGACAGAACTAAGCTGTAAATGCTGAGTTATATAGGAAGTCCAATATCACGTGCAATAAACGTAAGTTTACTTCTTTTCAAATGAATTGCAAATTGTTTGCCAGAAAGAATTAAGAATTACATCAATTCACACTGTCACCAGTATAGTATACCTGTTGACCATAACCTGTCAGCACTGGTTGTTAGTTTTAATACTTGTGATTTACTAGTTACAAAAATAGTATTTAATTGCTATTTTACCTAGTATTTTATAAATAACTTGTAGGATTGGACATTTTGCCATATGTACTGATTTTCTTTGCTAACAAATCTGTTTGCTTTCCTAATTTTTGTCTTATGTACAGTTTTGCTTTTTGATGGAAACCCTCAAATATTAAATTTTTGTGAATAAAGTTGTCATTTGATTTAGAGGGAACACATTAAGGGGGGTGGGGTCATTTGTTTCACACATCTGTAATAATGAGTAACATTAATATAAGTTTCTGTACATCAGACACTATTCATTTGTACATCTTTTCACACTTAATCCTAATAATAATGCAGTGAGGTAAGTACCTTTATCATCAGCACTATATACCTAAGGAAACTGAACTAAGCAGAGGAGTCGGGAAACTCGCCCCCAGTGTTAACACAGTGAGTGACCAGAAGGGTCGAGATACAAGTATCGGTAGTCAGTCTCCAGAACCTATTATATATCACCTGACAGCTCAGACATCTGCATTTATTGTACATACTAAATTTAAGTAAATCTGGATGAGTAGTATGCACAATATGTAAAAATTATCTTTAGGAAGAACCTCAAACATTTGAAGAGAGGATTCCTTGTACTTTCTGGGTTTTGGTTTTGGCATTTCAGGTACGCTAGCAGCAAATGCAAAAGCAAAGACTTGAGAATCCCTCTTCCAACATGGTAGAGTAATCTAACTTCCAGTCCATGTCATCTGCAACGGGGCAGTTTCTTCCTTTTCAATCTGTAAGCCTTTTGTATTTTCTTGCCTCACTGCACTCGCTTGTACTTCCAGCACTATGTTGTAAAACAGATGAGAGCTGGCATATTTGCTTTTTTCCTCAAAATTAGAAGGAAGCATTCAGTCTTTTACCACTGAATATGTTAGCTATAGGCTTTTTTGGTAGATGTTCTGTATCAAGTTAAAGAAGTTTCCTTCTGTTCCTAGTCTGATCATAATTTTGCCATGGATAGGTGTTGAATTTTCTCAGATGCTTTTTCTGCAGTGATATGATCATAATAACTTTTTCTTTAGGCTTGTTAATGTTACATATTACACTGCTTAATTTTTAAATATTAAACCAGCCTTGTATCCCTGGGGTAAACCCCACTTGATCATGATGTATAATTCTTTTTATGTGCTGCTGAATTCTATTTGCTAATGGTTTGGTTATGATTTTTATGAATATTCATGAGGGGTACTGTCTTGTAATTTTTTTTTCCTTCTATTTTTTGGGTTTAGGGTAATACTAGGTTTGTAAAGTGAATTTGGATGTGTTTCCTTTTCTATGTTCGGAAGGATTGTATAGGATTCCTGTTAATTCTTTAAATATTTTGTAGAATTTTCCTGTGCAACCATCTGGACCTGGAGATTTGGGACGAGGGGAGTGAAATAAGCACAATTCCTTGAATAGTTAACAGGGCTTTTTAAAGTATCTGTTTCATATCAATGACTTACGATAGTTTGTATTTTCTGAGGAATTGTTTCATGTCATCTAAATTGTCAAATTTGTGTACAGAGGTTATGGTATTTCTTCATTATCCTTTTGATGTCTTGACTGATGTCCCTTCTTTCATTCCTGATACTGGTAATTTGTGTCTTTTTTTCTTATCTTTGTCAGTCTTACTGGAGGCTTGTCAATTTTATTGTCTTCAAAGTACCAGAGTTTAGGTTCATTGACTTTATTATTTTTCTGTTTTCAATTCATTGAGTTTGTTCTTAGCTTATTTCCTTTTTTCTGCTTGCTTTGGACTTAGTTCTTCTCTAGTTTTATGGTGGAAGTTTAGATTATCAATTTGAGACCTTTTTCTAATAAGCAATTATTGCTATAAAAAGAAAAATCCCTCCTAAATCTTTTAGCTTCAACCTCAACTGCATAATTTTGATACATTGCTGTTTCATCTTCCTTAAGTTCAGAATATTTTCTAATTTACCTTGGTATTTCTTCTTTGACTATTGGATTTTTGGGGAGTGTTTTTAATATCCAAATACTTGGGGCTATTCCAGGTAGCTTTACTGATTTCTAGTTTAATTTTGTTATGGCCAGGGATCATACTTTGTATCATTTTAATTTTTAAAAAATTGTTGGAAAATGGTATATTTAAGTGCTTCTATTAGAAAATTTTAAAAGATAAAAACTCGGTGGCCTAAGGTTCTACCCTAATCTTCATTCTTGATAAATAAGAATAAAAGTAAGCTCAAATTAAATATAAAATATAAAGATGTAACTAATAAAGGATAAAAATCAACTATATATGAAGACAAAAAAACAGTGGAAAAAAGTCAATGAAACCAATGTCTGGTTAACAAAAAGAGCAATAAAATCAGTAGCTCTCTAATTAGACCAATCAAGGAAACCAGACAAATTATAAATCACTAATACCAGGAATGAAAGAAGAGTTGCCAGTATGGATCTTACCTTACTTAAAAGAATACAAAATTATGACTTTTTGTGCCAGTAAATTTGACAGTTTTAGACAAAATGGAAAATTATTAGGAAAATAAAAATCACCACAATTGACATGAGACCAAACCTGAATAGACTCACATCACTGATACTAAATAGCTCTCCACAAAGAAAACCCCAGTCCCATATAGTTTCACTTAAACATTTTACCACTCAAGGAAGAAATAACACCAGTCATAATTACAGTCTTTCAGAAAGTAGGAGAGAATACTTGCAACTTAATTTATGAGGCCAGTGTTTTTCTGATGCTAGAACTTGACAAAGACATTACAAAACAAAATTACACAACAATAGTTCTCATGAGCATAGGAACAAAAACCCTGAAAATATTAGCCAAATCTCAACATCTATAAAAGATAAGCCATTTTCAGGTTTTTTCAATAGATGTTACTGACAGCTAGATATTTATATGGAAAAACAAGCATTGACTCTTCACAGCATACACAAAAAATAACTAAAAATGAGTCATAGACCTAAAAGTAATAGAAGAAAACAGGAGAAACTAGAAAACTAGGAAACTAGAAGAAAACAGGAGAAAATCTTGGTGGCCTTAGATTAGGCAAAGATTTCCTAGGACAAAAAACCATAGAGAAAAAAAGGGATAAATGGAACATTAAAATTGAAAACATCTCTTCAAAAGACACATAAAAAAACCATGGACTAGGAGAAATTATTTTCAATGGCTAGAGCTGACAGAATTACATGCAAAATGTACAAAGAACTTGTAACTCACGTGTTTAATATTTGCATGAATAGTGCAAAGGCAATTATAAGGAAAACTGTCACCTTAGGGTAAATCAAGGCAGTACCACACTGTGCCAGTAGTGCTGATTGCATTCTCCACTGCCATGCATTTGAATTTTTTGTGGCAATTTCACTTGACTGTCTTGAATGAAGCTGTAAAAATCATTTTATGTCCCAACCTCTTGAGTGCATGTCTTTAATAATTTGAGTGATAAAATGAGAATTATGTATAAAGCACTTCTGCTTATCAAGACGGTGGTTATTTTGCAGAAATGCAGTTTCAGTTGGGGCCTGAAGTAGCTTTTTTAATGGAATTCCATTTTCATTTGAACAGATGACTGAGACAAACTATGGTTATTGAGTCTATGGTATTTGGTAGACATGTCTCAAAAGTGAACACAGTGAGCCTGTCAGAAGGACCTGACAGTTGCTGCAAATAATAAAATTGTAGCTTTCAAATTAAAATCAGAATTTTGGCTAGCTTGTATTCGCCATTGTGAGTTTGACATCTTCTCAATACTAAAGACTTTGCTGACAACAAATGGATTTTTTTTATATTATGAACTGTGTTAACATTTGGAAGATCTGCATAATTCAGAGGTATTTTCCAGTGACCAAGGTGTTAGAAAATCATGCATGGGTAAAATGGCCATTGTAATTACAGGAAAGACCACTGGACTTTCACGTTACAGGGTAACATTATTGATAGGGTTTCACATTCCACACTGCGATTTTAAGAAGCTATCTTGTTGCATTTTGTTGTTGGTATCAAGAAAGAATATCTACATTATCTAATACTCCTCCCTTTTTCCAACTACATAATTATTTCCAACTCCAGATAGGCCACTTGGATAATCTGTCCCAAGTTATACTAGAAAGGAATGGGAGCAGGGTTGAAACTCAGACTATGTAGTTTAAGAGCCCATATTCCTAGCCATTATGATGTAACAGACTATGAATTAGGTATTCTGGGTTTGCACCTGGAGCCGAGAGAATATTTGCATAATTTTGCGTAGACAAGATTCTCTGGTTACTTGTCAGGCATAGGTGGGAGCAAGGAGTGATATATTTAAATCCATTCTAGAGAATGAAGATGGTGGTTTAGTCCTAAGGCTCAAGTGAGAATATGGCTACTAATTCCTAAAGGTATGACAGAATAGTAGACATAAGTGATCCCTTTTCTTGCCACGGGTCAAAGTTAAGAGTTTTCATCAATGGCCTGAGGCTTCACATACTATCTGTCCTTTACAAGACAGCTTTTCTTACGTGGTTTATAGGATGAGCTCTGTTAACTTTATGGTCATTAAGCACCTGAAGTTCTTTTAAACCTCAAGGCCCACTTTTGCTGTGTTCTGCACATTGGTCCCAGTAGACACAGCTACCCTATTTAAACCCTCTATTCTAAGCCCTCTAATGACCCACCGGAGGAGTCCAGCGTATCTTCAACTAACGTCTTTAGGAACAAACCTTACTCCACCCAATCGGCAATGGTCGCCCCTCCTGAACACAGCTTCCTGCTTTGTTTTTGCCGATGCTCATCTCCATGTGGAACAGTCACTCTATACCATCCTATCAGCAGTGCACCCATCCCTCAAGATCCTACTCAAAAGTCACTACCTCTGTGGATGCTTCTCTATTCCCAGCTCCTTTCAAATGGCATCAAAAAATATTCCAAAATAGTAACTGAACAGGTTTTAGTTCTTTTAGCAGATTATAAACTGCTGCGTGCCTCTCTCTAGAGCTCATAACCTATTAATGCCTTGATCTCAAAGATTATTTGCTTAGTAAATGAGTATAAGGAATCAAAAATGAAAGATGGAAGAGACCATGATATTAAGTTATGTCCCATATTTCCTGGATTATCAGGTTGACTAGAATGAGACTGATCCATATTCACTCTGAAAAGTTACTGTTCTGTTATAGAACCATGCTTGTGATGAAGTCTCACAGTCAA